AATTGTACAATATGTTTCCCATGGGAGTTAATTAAGTCCTGATGGGCAGGTGGCATCTTGCATGTTAGCCCCTGCCATCAGTGATGACTGGGTCTGAATGGGCGAATGCTGACATGTAGTGTAAAAGCGCTTTGAGTGGTTGGAAGACTAGGAGGACGCTATACAAATGCAAGTCTATTTACCATTTACCATTTCTTACTCTTGACCATAGTTGAACGTCTCGTCTCTCGTCCTCATTAAAGTCCATGCTTGCATTATCGCGCAAGCCAATGGAGACGCTCATGCCTGTGCCCTTTGATTTGTGGACATACATTAATAGTTACATTATTGGATAACTAACCCCTGTTTGGTCTGTAACCCATTTCTTCATAGCATTGTGGTTACTGAAATAATTCTGGACTTTATTACACAACAACATGCATGTTTGTGGACATAAATAAGTGTGAGCTGTGCGGAGAGGTCTGGGTGTGGGCAGATGCCAAAGACTGAAAAACAAGCAAACAAAAACTATTAAAACAAAGTCACATCCACTCCTCTCGAATGAGATCTTCTACCAGTAGTGGGACATCCTGCTTCATGACTGTTTATTTATAGAACAATTAGTACAGCGGATAAGCTCTTAGATTATAATTGTGCATTTTATGAGGAAAGCATGAAAGTAATAACTTAGTTAGTATATACCATAAGGTTTATTTTCAGATGTCTAGGCAGGCATCAGAAGGTTTTTGTACAGTAGTGCTTGACAAGCAGTGGTTGGTGTAGATTGTAGTGGTGCCAGCAGCTTTAACAATTAGAGGCAAAATGGAGCCAAGGACGTTCACCCCCATGAGATCTCTACTACACCTAAAGTCAGGAGAAAGAAAACAACGATCTCATCATGTTGCAGTTGTATCACAACCACATTCATCTGCCACTACCCAGTTTCCCCCTTGCGGTTGTCACTTGCCTGCAAAATCCTTTTTATAAGTGTGTTTCAATTGACAACATAACTAGAGAAAGGTGAGCATGATTGGCTACAAATGAAACATGCCAGCGAGCTAAAGTTACATAATTAACTTACCATAGATTGTTGTTTGTTCGCTTTGAATGGAGATAAACGGTATTTCTGCCTGGCTGCTCAAACCTAAATCCCTGTAGGCTCTCTTTGTCAATGTTCAGGCTGCAGGCTGTGCATATGTGACTGAGATCTGTTCTTTTTATAACACCGTGAACAGCACAGGATCACATGGAATCTGGTCTTTCCCATTCTGAATTGAAGCCTATTCCATATGTAGTCCTAAATTAGACACAATCAGATTTTTCCAAAGACATTACACTTTAGACTACTAAAAGTAGTCCTTGAAATCTGTTTCAGTGAGGCCTTTCACATCACAACCCCACCACTCCTGGTTCTGACTCAGCAAGCTCACACACCTCTGGACAAAAGTACATCCATACAAAAGCTTGCTGGCTGTCCTGTCTTTGTTATTGTTCTTGTGCACATGCGGGTCACTTCAGCACTGTGACCAGTTCACACTGGAATCTGATATAAGCCATGTTTGACTTCTGTTAACATACTATGTGTTAAATTTTTCATGACTTTATGGTCATACTATACTAAAACCTTTTGACATACCATACTATGATGTTTTAGGACATTTGTAGACTATACTATATACTATACTGTAACTTTTTTGAAATACTATCATATGACTTTTTAGACATACCTTTCTCTGCCTTTTTTCAACATACTATATTTTGACTTTTCATTATTTCTTTGGACAAACTATAATATGACTTTTTTCAAAATACTTTTTCAACATATGACAACACAACAATGACTTATTTTGTCATACTCCACCATACTCTGATATTTTCATGACTTCTTTCGAAATGTGAATCTTTTGACACGCTATAGTATGATTTCTTTAAAGATACTATGTATCAATACATTTTTAATTACTTTTATAGACCTATTAAAGACATACAGTTGTGTGAAAAAGTGTTTGCCCTCTTCCTGATTTCTTATTTTTTTGCATGTTTGTCACACTTAAATGTTTCAGATCATCAAACAAATTTAAATATTAGACAAAGATAACACAAGTAAACACAAAATGCAGTTTTTAAATGAAGGTTTTTATTATTAAGGGGGAAAAAAAATCCAAACCTACATGGCCCTGTGTGAAAAAGTGATTGCCCCCTAAACCTAATAACTGGTTGGGCCACCCTTAGCAGCAACAACTGCAATCAAGCGTTTGCGATAACTGGCAATGAGTCTTTTACAGCGCTGTAGAGGAATTTTGGCCCACTCATCTTTGCAGAATTGTTGTAATTCAGCCACATTGGAGGGTTTTTGAGCATGAACCGGCTTTTTAAGGTCATGCCACAGCATCTCAATCGGATTCAGGTCGGGACTTTGACTAGGCCACTCCAAAGTCTTCATTTTGTTTTTCTTAAGCCATTCAGAGGTGGACTTGCTGGTGTGTTTTGGATCATTGTCCTGCTGCAGAACCCAAGTGCGCTTCAGCTTGAGGTCACGAACAGATGGCCGGATATTCTCCTTCAGGATTTTTTGGTAGACAGCAGAATTCATGGTTCCATTTACCACAGCAAGTCTTCCAGGTCCTGAAGCAGCAAAACAGCCCCAGACCATCACACTACCACCACCATATTTTACTGTTGGTATGATGTTCCTTTTCTGAAATGCCGTGTTACTTTTACGCCAGATGTAACGGGACATACACCTTCCAAAAAGTTCAACTTTTGTCTCATCAGTCCACAGAGTATTTTCCCAAAAGTCTTGGGGATCATCAAGATGTTTTCTGGCAAAACTGAGACGAGCCTTTATGTTCTTTTTGCTCAGCAGTGGTTTTCGTCTTGGAACTCTGCCATGCAGGCCATTTTTGCCCAGTCTCTTTCTTATGGTGGAGTCATGAACACTGACCTTAATTGAGGCAAGTGAGGCCTGCAGTTCTTTGGATGTTGTTCTGGGGTCTTTTGTGACCTCTTGGATGAGTCGTCACTGCGCTCTTGGGGTAATTTTGGTCGGCCGGCCACTCCTGGGAAGGTTCACCACTGTTCCATGTTTTCGCCATTTGTGGATAATGGCTCTCACTGTGGTTCGCTGGAGTCCCAAAGCTTTAGAAATGGCTTTGTAACCTTTTCCAGACTGATAGATCTCAATTACTTTGTTTCTCATTTGTTCCTGAATTTCTTTGGATTGCAGCATGATGTCTAGCTTTTGAGGATCTTTTGGTCTACCTCACTTTGTCAGGCAGGTCCTATTTAAGTGATTTCTTGATTGAGAACAGGTGTGGCAGTAATCAGGCCTGGGTGTGGCTAGAGAAATTGAACTCAGCTTTCCAAAGATGTGATAACCCACAGTTAATTTATGTTTTAACAGGGGGGGGGGCAATCACTTTTTCACACAGGCCATGTAGGTTTGGATTTTTTTCCCCCCTTAATAATAAAAACCTTCATTTAAAAACTGCATTTTGTGTTTACTTGTGTTATCTTTGTCTAATATTTAAATTTAAACACTTTTTCACACAACTGTATTTTCATACTATACTTTGAAAGTTTATCTTCATACTATGCTATGACTTTTATTATGACTTTTTATATATAACTGACCTATTTTGGCATACTATTCTATTTTATTCTATACATTTTTTTAACATACTACGCTGACTTTTTAATGACTTTTATGACTTGACATACTTTGACTTTTTGGACATACTATAGAATGACTTAATTCATCATACAATACCATTCGATGACTTTTGCATAACTTTAATTGACATTACTTTCTCGAAATATTACCAATACCATTAACGCACATTACTGACTTTGCGTCTTCACCCGAGTGACTTTTTTCTACTTCCTATAGTATGAATTTTTTTAACTAACTATACAATAACGTTTTGGGATAAACTAGACTATGACTATTTTTTTTCAACATACTATTATATGACTTTTTATTGACTTCTTTCGACATACTATACTATGCCTTTTTATCGAAATACTTAACTTTGACTTTATTGACAAACAATATCAGTTTTGCACTCCTGCCGATCCGCCACTATATTTTTCTCTCTTTGTTCATGAGCCTGTGCACTTGTCGCTTTACCTCATTTACAGGTGACGTTGATTTCCTCTGACAATAACATCAGGAAAAGTACAACATAAGCGAATGAAACATCACGTTCTTTCTCACAATAATCTTGAATTTCTGCCTTGCATCATTGGGGTAAATTTGACCGTTGGGTTGTTTGTTTATTCGCGCCAAACAGCCAAAGATGTTACCTTGCGTTAGCTGTAAGCTAGCTAGTAACAGATGCAGCAACCATCAGCTTGTGTTCGTTTGTGTGGACGTTCAGCTTCTAATTGACCCCATAATTTACAAGAAACTCCAGTTCTTTTATTTCCCTCCATACATGCTTAAGAAGAAGGTTCATGGGGCAGCTGTTCCTGCCTCAATCTTCTTTTTTCACACACGTTTCTGCTGAGCTGCAGGCAGGCTCCTTGAATCTGAATCTTTTTGCATGACAACACAAGTAGTGAGGAGGTGAGTCCAATACAGCCTTCTGAAAAATTGAATGGAAATGTCCCGTTTTTTTTTTTGTTCTTTACAAATGTATTTATTTTTTTTATATACAAGTGAAAAATATTTGGCTGTTGCTTTGCCTGAGATCTACTTGTAATAAAATCCATGAAATGTTATAAAATCAAGAACTCACTGATATCAATAGTTGATCAATAAATAGTGGTTTATTTTAACAACAGGTATGGCTTATATACAAGTGCATTTATGTCTGTTAAAACAAAAACAAAATAAAACCAAACAATCAGAAATGATAAATGGTACAATCCATGGTTTTTTACATTCATTCAAATCTCCCATCAGGAGATTCTGAGTTGCACGGTTGAGAGAAGCGACACCTGAACTGTGTACACTGGGGACTTCATGTCTCTGAGAGTTTTATCTAAGTTCAAAATTATTCATCAGTCCATGTTACGATCTATGATCCTTCATCTTATTGACGCCGGGAGTTTCCACACAATTACTATTTACAAAGTCATAACCCATCCGTCTTTTTTTTGCTTTTCCACCGGGGCGATCACCGTCTCCTAGTCCACCGTATCGCTGGTGCCAACGTTGCTTTGGATTGCTTTTACAGATTTTTTTTTTAACCTTAATTTTACTTCAATAAAATACTCCCATCAGCAACCTGAAATAGCTGCATGGGAGTTGTGAAAATGGAAGCAACTGACCTTAGCGAAGACACTGGTCTGTGCTGTGTCAATGTCCAAACACTGGTGTTGCATGGGGGTAATGGCAATACACAGATTCATTTCTGCCATACGCACACTGAGACAGAGAGACCAACACTCACAGACAACGAGGACTCGGAGTAATGTGTAGCTACTGACCACTGCAGTCAACCCACTACTTACTGCAGATGCCAATAATTCATAATGAAAACCAGGGTCAACACCCTCTTCCACAGAGTAGATTACACGTGGGTCTATTGCAAAAGTGAATGTGCTATTTGAAAGTTATGTATTCAAAATCCCATCCCATTTCCCTTTTTCCTCTACTGACAAGAAGCCAAGCTCCACCAAATCTGACATCACATGATTGCAGGGCATTGTGCTTTGAGGCTTAGCAGCATGGCATGTTAGGCTTTAAATGTTCATATGAATCTTTCACTAAACAGAAGTTTGTTGACTTGATGATCTATTAAAAGACCAATAAATCAATTGAAAAAAAGAGCTTCCATATGTTGAGTCAAGCTGCGTTTGTGGAAAAAAAGAAACACAAGCAGGTTTCTACATCATTCAGATACCTAAACATATGTAGTGCCTTTATCAGTGCACATTTGACTGAGATGAAAGCAAAAGAGGATATTGGTGAGTAATGTACATGTAAGGTTCTTCGTAAGTGTACCGCAAGATTGTGTAGATAACACAAGCCTTGGACTCCTGAATGACCCCTTAGAAGATCACGAATACTCCCTGTATGAATGTTAACGAGTGTTTCATCACATTTGAAATGACAAGACATCATTCAGTTGGCTCTTGAGTTTTACAGTAAAGTGTAATTATTATTGTTATTGTTATTATTGTTGTTGTAAACAGTGATCTATCCGTAATCATACATCTTCCTCTGACAAATATTACAACCTCAAAAGCATGAAGTGTGTAGCGACAACTGTCACGTTACACACAAGTCAAGTATAATGCTATCCACAGCTGGACAGTGTTTGTCATTTTAAGATAATGAGGTTTATCTAACTATAAATAAAGATTTGACCTGCATTGAATCATTTTGCGTTTTTTTTTTCGTTTTTGTTTTTTTAAAGTAAACTTAGTTGTGCATGTGAATACATGAACACATTGGCATACATGAACTATGTAAATGCCAGAACATGATTTAGAAAACACTGAACGTTCGCGATGCTGTGACAGTTGGCAGTCATATCAAACATTTCGTCATCCGTCGGTTTTGTTTCAAAAATAGCTTTTTGTGTCTTTTTAAGGTTTGCGTTTAAAGGTTTGTTTTACTGACACGTTCACAATTATTTTCATGCTTTGTCCCAACTGCAATGAATAAGGTGGCACCACAGTGAGGTACCACAAATACTGTAAGAACGTGGTATGGCTCTGTACAATAAGGGCACGCCATGGGAGATTATTCAAAATAATACTTTGAATTAAAAAGAAAAGACTGAATCAAGCTCAACAACTAATTATGCATTTACTTACAATATCACATTTACAGATAAAAGCATTTGCATCCCCTAAATTCCATCACGATTGGAAAAATAAAAGTTTCGTCAAGCCAACAAAATATGGGTCATTCGTCTCTCTAATATCGCTGATCATACAATGAACAACATGTTGATGAAAGGCTATTTCGCAATCTCATCTCTCAATTCCAATTAATCAAATGATGGTATAGCTTTCAGTCTTTTATTCATTTGATAAACAATTTACTTCTATTATATTTCTGAACTTTGAAAAAGGGTTCATCTGATTCACTTAAATCCACATACAGTCTATGGCAGGGGACTGCACTTAACAGGATCTCCCTAAGCAGGCAAATACTGTTTTTATACTAATTTTTTGGCACTATATCTACATTTAATTTTGGTCAGAGTAGTTTTTGGCATTGTATTCAGAAAAATCCCTCCAATTTCAATTTCACCTCTGTAACTGCAAAAGAAATACGTTGCAACATTCAGATTTGTTTTTGTCCATACAAGTAAGGCAATATTCGTATGCAAATATGTTAGACGGACATTTCATTTGAGCAAAAGTACCAGTGATTTTTTTGTTTGTTTGTATTTTAGCATCATTTTATGTCTCACCAGTCCTCTTAGGGTACAAGACTCTTGAAAATGACAGACAGTGATTCTCCATTCATTTACATTAAAGTAGTTTGAAGGCTGGTGATTTCCAGTGACATTCAAAAAGAGCAGAGGATACTGCCACATTGTCACAAAACAGCCCCTGGCACTCTCTCACTTGCGTGGTCTCGTTTATTGGCTAAATACAGGAAGGTGAGAGGGGGGGGGTGGGGAATTGAGAAAGATACGGTATCTCTGTAAGACGCGTCTATTCAACTCCGGGTGGGGACAATCTTCAGTAAGGGTCTGAAGTCTGAGTAGGGCAGTTGGTGCCCCCCTTCCTCGCCCCTTTGTCGGTTATTTATGTGGCATGTGCTGCTTCCTCGTGCAACCATAAAGCGTCTTCTCCTGGCTGCAGCTACGCATCATAACGATTCCACGCCATTGACAGTGTTGTTTTCTGTGATGGCACTGTCACTGGTGGAAAGGACACCAGAGTCTATGGGGGAGGAGACAGTGCAGTCCATTAGAGAGGAGGGAGTTGCTTCTGTGGAGCCTGAATCTGTGATGGGTGTTGGTGCTGGGGCAAGGGAAGCAGCTGAATCCTGAACAGTCAGAGTGGTAGCTTCTGGAGAGGAGGTGTGCACAATGTCTGTGACGGGGAGAATGGTAGGAACAAGTTCAGTTATGTTGATAGCATCTATGATAGGGGGAGTGGAAGAGGCCGCTGAGGACGTATGGCCTGGGTCAACGGCTGGAGGAGGAGTGGGGGAAGGGGGAACAGTGACTGGGCTAGGGGGAGTAGGGACACAAGGAGCTATATCATCAACACAGGGAGAGGTAGGGTCCATCTGTGGCGGTTGAGGTTCTATCACAGGAGGTATGGGGGAGTCTCTAGGGGAAGGAGTAGATGTAGATTCTTCGACTATTTCTAACTGGGTGGGATTGTCCAAGTGTATGCTAATGGAGGGTGGTGGATCAGTGAAGAGGTTGTTATCAGTCATCGGAACAGGAGAGGGGCTTGGGGATGGAGGGGGGCTGTCATGCATAGATGGAGTGGGGGAGTCTGCTAAAGTGGTTTCTATGACCTCTAGCAAAGGTGGGTCGAATTTCAGGCCAATATCGTCAATCTCATTTCTAGGCGGGGGTTCGATGATGGGTGTGGTGCAGATCAATAAGGAGGCGGGCACAGTTTGAGGGACGGGGGGAGTGAAACAGTCTAATGAGGGGGAAGGGGAAGCGGCTGACTCTTTTGTAGTGGAAGGGCAAATCTCACTCATCTCAAGAACAGCAGAATCCGTCAGTGGCTCAGCAGATTTCAGGGCTATTGCTGGAGGTTCTTTGGCATCAACTAAAAGCGGGTCTGTGATGCATGGGAGATTGTGTAAAGGAGAGGAGGACAGCAGGTGCTCTTTACTGGCATGTATGATGCCACCTTTACCCAGGGCTGTGATGGGGGTTGTGGATAATGATGCAACCGAGTGGCCGTTGGGGTCTTTTGGCGGAGGCTTGCCGGGGTGCACCTCCATGAACACGGGAGCGGACGCATCCCCGACAGACGGAGCAGTCAGATCGACAGCCGAAGAGGTGGTGGATTCCATAGTGGCCACCGCGGTGGCGGCTGCCTCGTGGAGCGGCGTGTCGTGCACCCTGGTGTAGTCCCTGCTGCTCTCAGACTGAGGCAGCAAATGCCGCTGTTCTCCAGGTTTCCTCGGTGGAAGGAGAGGTTGACGGGTGTAGCACTCGCCATCGGCAAGGGTCTCGGGGAGGGGCTGGTAGCGCGTCTCGGGCAGCAGGAGAATGCAGATGATGCAGATGAGAGTGCAGCAGGCAAAGATAATGTGATGGAGGAAATAGCCCTTCTGATTGTGGAGCTCCATGATGGGTGCAGTCAGCATGCCGAAGCCGGCGCTGGCTAGGACCAGGCCCAGCCCACCACCCCTATGATGAGATGGAGAATGTTATCACATGGTTGGATTTATGATCACGCGTATCTAAATACCTCATAAACCTTGTATAAGCCACTCAAATGAGATGACGGTTGACTACAATTAAAGTAAATCGTTATCTACATGTTGTACTGAATTATAACCTCATTCATTTCTATAAAAGGGAGCATCTTTTTTTCCTTCCCTCTACTCTTGACACATCAATGCCATTTTAGCAAACAGCAGCAGGGAGAGCTGCAGTACCACCAAATGCCCTCCTCCACATGCAGTCCCTTTCCTCTTCTGAAATTGCTTAACTTCACCACCAGAGGTCGCCTGTGGGGCACCGTCAGCAAAACAACACCCCTTACATAACCCTAGATAATGAACATCCAGTGCTGTGTCATATACTCTCAAAGGGGGTGGCTAATTCGTACAAGATGTGGATTACATTTGACACTGAACCGGGAGAGTCTGTTCGACGATTTCATACCCTGGTTTAACAGGAGGTGGAGAAGCTAATCCATCTACAGGAACATGTGACGCTATGGACACCGACCACCGTGTTAACTGAATTATAAACTAATCAGGACGTTCAAATAGGTGTAGGAAGTACGCTGATCGTTTCTGCTACACTTGATGGATTAACAACACACAAACTAGAGTAAACATGAACACACTGTGGACTAATCACCTGTTTAATGACGAACAATATCCTACATATTAAAAACACAGATGTTTCACTCCTCGGGAGTAAAAGCACATTTTTTTCCCCACATGTCGTCGTCCGACTCTAAATGGCACAAGTCCCAGTGTTTCAGCGGGCCTACCTGATCACAGTGGGCGTGATCTCAGCACAGAAGAAGATGCTCAGGTTGCTGACTGCGTGGGAGGAGAACATGCCGATGATGGAGAAGGCGATGGAGAAGTTCTTATTCAGCGTACTTGAGTTTTCTGCAGACAAAACATGTATGTTAATGTGTATTCAGTACCCTGTGTAATCTGTAAAAGGCATAAGTAAATAAGGTGCTTTATATTTTAAAAAAACATGAAGTATTTGTAAATATTAAAGTAAATGACTGTTTAAAAGATGATACGGCAGCATTTCAGTCGGTATATGTATCATGTTGTCGTAAAAAGAAAGTCTCTTGAAGGTATTCCGATTAATTTCGACGTTGCCGTAGCGCCAGAAAGGCGCCTTTCGCTGAAGGGGCTATAAAAAACAAACTGCTGGAGCTCTACTTCACATGGTCAGATCTTTTCCAAATTTCACAAAACTGATGCGAATCCTGACCTGAAAACATCTACATAGGAGAAACAAAGCTGTTTTTGAGTGGCTACAGATGCTCGCAAATGAACAAAACTTAGCACACACATTAAAAGTGCTACCTTTTGTCATCTGATATGGCTGTGGTGCTCGATAGCCCCTCCTGAAGAATTTGATAACCACACGAGTCACATGTAGACTTCAAAAAAAAGTCAACAAGTCGTCCATGCACTCCACACAGGAATTACTGTCTAACTTGTGCGTGTCCGATGATCACGGAAATGCCTGGCACCCCTGACGTGAGTAAATTGAATTGAATTTTTGTAATTTAAAAACGAAAAAAAAAGACAAATTGAAAGCACTCAAATGCTACAAAATCCAGTGGTATTTGAATTTCAACATGAAGTGGTTCAATCTAAAATTCTAATTATTTCTCTGCTTCATACCACAAACTGTATCACTTCAGTCAAAGAGAACATTGAAGCGCATGAGTCACTACAACTGAATCAAATAAGACCAGAGCATTTTAGGATGTATCATTTGAACGACTTTCAAGCAGTGCATTTAGAAAACCTAGAGAAACGGTTTCCAATAAAACGTTGGCGAAATAAAACGTTACGGCTTTGGTTCATTTTGATGAGTTATTGAGGAATTGGCTTGCATGCAAAGAGCCCATTTAGCCCCAAAGATGGTTTGATTAAAGTGTTTTTTTTATGGATGAGAGATGTTGAAGATGGCATAAAAAGGATCAGTGGAGACTGCTCTGTGATCAGCTCTTGCCTTCCGCAAGGGGTTTAGTGAGGAGAGAGCAAAGACGTTGATGAACAGAAGGGTAGAGTGAAGGAAGGCTTGTTGTGAGATGCACAGCTCTGTTACAAAGAGGCTAACCCTCTTCAACACAAAGGGGATAAATAAGTGAAAAGCTAGCCATAATTACATCTTGGACTTCATTATGTGTCTCTGCAGGCCTTGTATACGCCTGATGAAGTGGATGTCTGTATGCAGCACATTCTCAACAAACCTCATCAAGATAGTGCAGCAAGCTAAGTGATGAGTGGTGCAAGACGATTGAATCCGCACTTTGAAAAAAAAAAAAAATGCGAAGCTGATAAAAATGGTGGAAGAATAGAAATCTAGAGATGATATAGATCCTACCTATATTCAGATGGCCACTGTACTTCCCCAGCACTAGAGGAGAGTGAGAGACATTCACAGATATGCATCAGCTAGAGACACGAAGCAGAGCGATCATTCAAATTGTGTGTCGAACATTAAAAACAAAAACATGTTGCGCAAAGCCTGCCGACTTGCACTGTTACAACAAAAACAGTTCAAAGGGAGAACATGACACAAGAGCATAACCTTGATGTGTTGACTCAGGTTAAACATTAAGGCTCACTCATGTGTAACGGAATAAACGGACCTGTGCACGGTTTTGATCAACCTTTGGTACACATTGACGAAATTGTCAGTTTACGATCATGTTCGACGAGTCCATTAGAAACAACTACAGGAAACCAGGCTCTTGTACAGTGCACCCACCACACCGAGCGCCAGTATTTACAGCAGGTGGTGTAGGAGACACAAAGCAAGACCGTCGGAAACTAAACTATGAAATTCAAATGAATATTTTGAACCATCTCAACAGACATCGTTACATGGAAAATGGAATAATATAAAAACATATTAGAGGGTTATATTGCCATTTAATGCAATGAATGGTGTTCCACTGTACAGACACATATGTGGAACACATTCCCAATAACTTATTCCATTACTCTGAAATTTGCTTGGAATCATTCACTCGGCCAGAGTTTTGTGGGATGTGATGCGATATGATAATATCCTCATAAAATGATTGCAATGAAAGTCAACAAACAATACTGATGAATTATCTCCGCTGTGACGGAGGTTCTGGCTTTAGCTTTATCAAAACGTTTTGGTTATTTATGTTTTCAAATTTATGTTTTCATATTATTGTGTTGTCAATTCAAGTATTTTCAATACTTTCCAACTTCCCTAAGATATATACTTGTGTCACATGATTGTTTCACTTCTACAAAAAGGCTTAAGACTTCCTCTGTTCGGGACTTTTGGGGCCCTAGTGAGCATTTCAAGCCGCAGGACTTGTATGTGGACCCAACACATCAGAGCCCATTCAGAAACGTGTAAACCAGTGAAAAACTGTGGCTCATTGATATTTCTTTATTAGTTCTTGGACAACAATGGAGCTCTATCGCACAGAGGAATAAGATATATGTGGCTTTGGGTACAGAGACAGTATTTGGTAGTAGGATCAGTTCATTGTTTGTTTTGCTCTATTTTTCTTATTGCCAACAAATCCCACAAACAAAGAATAGTACCAGCCTTATCGTTTCTCTATTATTGCCAAAGATGCTTCAGATACTCAAAGTCAGTAAACATCATCACCGTGGTGTCATCCTAGGGGGGCATGTGTTCCTCATACTCACAATTGAGCAGGCCCAGCTGCAGCAGTGAGGCCAGGGCAGTGATGATCATAAACATGAGAAGGCCGCCCCTCCGGCCCATCAGGCCCACCGCCGGGCAAAGCGCCATGCAGGACGCCACCGCAATGCCCGCCATGGTGTAATAATCTGCATAGAAGTTATGGAACATGGTCGTCTCCTGAGCTTCGGGGTCCATCATGCTGCGAGCAAAGCAGTGGTGGATCCCGTAGCCTGTTAGCCTGGGTGAAGAACATACACAGGGCGAGGTTAGGGGACACTAGGAGTGGAAGTTTACAGTAGGAGAGACATAAGTGAATGGTGAAAAGAAGGAACAAGAGGGGAAGATACAGAGAAAATAGATCCAAGTACATCTAACAGATGAAGAGGTTGGGAGGAGACTGAAGAGGATGCGAGATGATTAAAGGTTTATCACAACTTCTTTCATCTCCAGGAAACTACCCACATGTAAACACTGACTTACTGACACACACGCAGCCCCACACACCCTCTCTCCTGGTTGTATAATGTGTCATAAGGACACAGCTCATGTAAAATTCATGCCGACTTGGGGAGCTAGGCATATTGTGCACTGAAGCAGAGCTAAAGCCGGGTCAGCCTAGCTAGAGTTGGGGAGGAGAGGAGCGATCCACCGGAGATGGAAAGAGAGAGCAGAGCAAATATGGAAGGGCAAAATCATCGAGGACTACTGATCAATGCTGTCTCGAGCCTCCAGGTTAACAGTGCCATCTCGACTGCACAAAATGGCGCGTCTGACTGACATTGCCTCGCCCCCTCCTTTTTTTTTTCCTCCCTCTCTTTTTCTTTCTGGTATTTAGACACACATAAGCACCGTGACACGTAAATGTTCAAACTGTTTCTAAGTACCTACACCACAGACAAACACTTACGAGTTGACGCAGAGCACAACAATATTCTTCCACAGGTTTCTCGTCCCGACCATTTTCACGATGCACGTCTTCTTGGGTTTCTTTTGAAGAGCTCTCTGCAGTTCTGGAAACAAGCAAACATGTTAATCTTGGAGCCATACCAATATCTGACCTTTGAGGTCCATATCAATATTCAAGTAGAAATGCTATTTTAAGTTATTGCAACGGATGAATAGTCTTAAGTGCAACGTTTCAGCCTCAGTTTCTCTTGGGACATTGGTCACTCCATAAATGCATTACTATTGTTATTTATTATTATAGTGCTGTAGCATCACTACATCTAAGTATTTCTGTGTACCAAAATATAACTAGTGTTTAGTTTATTTGGGTATAGATTTTTGCCCACAATACATATCTTACACATGTATTTAGAAAATGAAATATCAATGTACTCTGATATCTGTTTGCATATGAGTCAACACTGATAAAAACAATATCCGCCTGCTTATACATCCATCAGGCTTTAATTATTATTGTCATCATGTCAAAGTGAGTTTTCAGGTCAAAGGAAAAGTTCAACAGCAGTCTGGGTTGTCTAAAGAGTCAAACAAGGGCACCCCCGAGTCACTGCAAACACAGAAAATTCCATATATACTTTTAATGAGGTTTTCGTGAGACAGGTATGCTCACAGTGAAACAGGAACAGTACGTGGGAGGGCAACACCTTTAACCCTCAGGGGACGTGTGACACGGCAAACAGTGGATGATTTCATATCAGACTCGCGGGTTACCACAGAAACACGCCTCTGCTTTTGAGGTACCGTGCGCTGACGTCGACTCAGGCATGCGACAGCGTTGCACACCGCGCCACGTCAAGGTTATCTCGATCTGTACCACTCACACTTTCCAGTGATCCCCCGGCCAGGCTACAAAACTCTGAGTAAGAACATCCCTACGATGATTAAGATGCAAATCATTCTGCTCACTCTCCAAAAGATCACATAATCCCTATATTCAACACATGCAACTGCATCCGTCATGTCTGAATGCTTGAAAGAGTTGCTCAACTGTTTTGCTATTGCAGCAGTTAGCACATGCGGTGCTCAATATTGTATTTAGTGCCAAGCAGTTAAAAGTGGGAAATATTACTGTAAGGGTTGGGGATAGCCAGTTACTATAAAAACAAGAGTGGATCATTTAATGTCTGTGGCAATGTACTTTTTTCAACGCTGCATCAGCACACAGTCTCAGAGTTAAAAAGTGCAGTCAATTTCACACTGAGTGGTTCCTCGTTGAACATTTTCCCAGCAGTGGCACTCGTTTTCTAAATGGATTAGATAAATACAGCAGGACAAAAATGGAAAAAGTATACCACGGTAAACAGAGCCGTTAAAAGGTTAATACAAATGCAATCTGATATGACATTTAACAACAACATAGTTAGCGCAGCTCTTTGCCTCTGCAGTGTCTTCTGAGTACAGATACAGTTAACTCGGGGGTCAAAGGGCATGACCAGCATCCATCTGTACACCGGTGGATCCATCAACCCAGGCTGTAATCAAATAAATTAACGTTCTAGAGTGTCTTAATGTAATGTTCAACACCGACTGCTGCGGCTGAAGTGGCCTGTTACTATGGTAACCCGACAGGAAGCAGAAATAACCTTGTCAATCTGGCGTATTTGTGAAAGCACAGCTGGGGATACAGCCAAACACCCAGCTCTTTAAAAAAAGAAGAAGTGAAAAAGATCGGGAGATGACACTGCAGCAAATATACAAAAGACACGACTACTTTAACATGAAAATAAAAACTAATTCTACTGATATTACACACAGTGATCACAACATCAAGATGTAAAAAGCAGCCTTTATCATGCAAACGTGCCAATGTATTTATTACCTGTGAGGATATTATCGCTGTCGAGCTCCAAGTTCACTTGATTTTTCGCTGCTATGTGTCCCATGATCCATTTGGAGCGGCAGTACTGCTGAGTGGCCAGCAGCCAACGCAGTGACTCAGGGAAGATCCTGTCAAAAAGATGGAGGATGTCCTCGTTAATGAAATGAAATGGATCCTGCTTTCAGAAGGCTGACTGAGGTCTCTCTTAATCACGGTTAAATCGGTTTTTTTTTAACCAGTGTGCCATTTTAACACATTTCAAATTAAATACAAAAGAAATCTGTCATGGTGAACTAAGAATCAAAGTTATTAAGAACAGAAAATCCAACTTCACACGCAAACACTCGCATACAATTTACAGGTTGCAAGGCCTCAAATTAGCCGAACCAGATGTCTTTAAAGCGTAATAAACACATGGCTGCCAGCCATTGTCGCACCTGCTTGTCGTGCTCGAGTATCTGGTCGTTGTATCGAGTTACAGTATGCGGCAGCAGTGCACACATTCCTGTGAGCGGGGAAGTTTCTCCTTGCAGATGTATGTTGATTTGAAGAGCGTCAGAAAAAAAACAAGGCCACATTTACCTCAGTCGGTTGCATTTCTATGGAACAGATGTCTACAAGAGGACCGGTGCAGGATTAATGACATTCCACTGGTGTGGTTTTAAATTGTTTTCCCACGTCAGCAAACTTAGATCACCTGCAGTGCTGAACTCTGAAATCAGCTGTATTTCTACACAGATTCAGCCACTGTCAGTGATGGATCCAATTTGTGCCCATAATCTCTGGCTTAATCAAGAAAATACCAACGCCAATACTTTCCCAGAATCCTATTGTTGCTCTACTACATGTGTAGAAAGAGGCTACAGTGTTGGCTGATTTTCCATTAAAAGCTCGCCCTACACCTAGCAGGTCGAGTTCACCATCCAACGTCCGGTACTATCTGTGATAAATATCAGTTTAACAACCCGCTTCCTGTCCTTGAGTCTTTTTCAGCCAGCAAGGGCGTGATCACATCAAAGCAGACAACTGTTTGTCTTCCGCAGTGTTGCCACCAGGCTGCTGAGCTATTGCTTGTTTTCAGTCATCCGTCAGGATAACAGTGACTACCCCGGTGTACGCCTAAGATTACCAACTCCAGCCTGTATCATGGTCCGGCTCTCTGTCTCCTACACTGATTGCAGTGTATCATATCACCAGCATTGATTCTTCAGACACACCATTTTAGAAAGCCAAGGCCTTTGATGCTATAAAAAATGGATTTTCTTCTACTAGCTTTGTACATATCAGTAGTGTTGTGCAGCTCTGTACATCACGCTAGAATGAATGGAGGTGAAGGCACAGGTATTTATTGCCCAAGCTTTAGCAAGAGATACTACAGTCACCGTAGAGGTCACTGCAAATGAGTTAATGAAAAGACATTAGATTTAATTCAGCTGGGAATACACTGGTGAAAAGAAATGTCCTTGAAGGGAATTTCTCCTTCTTTGTTTGAACCATGTAAATCTAAAGCATCTTTGGCTGGGTAAGGTTTTATTAAAAGAGTTGCTTGGAATCCAACACACAGTAGAATTTGACTGCAGCCGGCGACGTATATTTCAGTCTTGTGTAGAACTTAAGCAGAATAACAAAAGATGTGTTGGTGCCAAAGTGCAAGCAGATGCTCTGGTCTTTTCCTTACCAAATGTAGGACAGCATCAGTAAGAAGGGGCAGATGATGACAACTTGGAGTACCTGCCAGTCGTAACAGAGGTATGCCACCCCTGGCATCAGCAGCTGACCGCCCAACATCACAAAACTGGCCACCATGGTCATGGAAAAGCGCCATCCAGGGAGACACAGCTCGATCCCTGGCAAAGAGGAGTAAAAAAAAGAGAGCGCCAGTGTTAGTTTTTTTTTTTTTTTTTGCAACAGACAAAGACATAAAATGGGCATGTACGACAACAAGGCAATTAGCCCATTTTCAAAAAAAATGTTCGACAAATTCCGTCATTTTACCAGCAAGAATGCCACACAATAAAAATTTAAAATTCTCAAAAGCGAGGATCTTTATTGTTTTGTATTGGTATTAATTGAATCTCTTTGGACTGTACTGTATATAAGGTAATTCAGCTTGGGCTCCTGAAAACCTTTTTAAAAATTCTGTCATTTTATAGACTACATGATCAAAAAGTCATCAATGCGCCCAAACAAATATTTTCACCTTTAGAGCTACGGCGCATGATATATGCTGTGCCATTAAACAAAGGCTAAAGTCCCCATGTACAGTTGCTGTTGTTGTTGAGAGACAGTAGGCTGCTGTGAGAGTGGACTAACTAGAAAGAGGTTCCTTGTACTCAATTCTCCTCTGTCAGAATGGCACTGATTCATTCACCCAGCCATTAGCATGCACACCACACTGGCAGCCAGCAACCACAGACAGTCCAGCCCTTTAGTTACTGCAGTAGAGGGTGGCTTCACATCAAACCATAGCACAGCGAGCAGTGCTGTAATGCTGCTAATCTTGCAATGCCAAAATCGTTTGTCCTGCTTCATTCATCCCTTTTTGATAGACTTTTTCTTCTAATGGGTCTTTTCTGCTGCGCAAGAATGTGAACAGCCTTCAGATGGGTCTTTCAAGGTGACAGGGCCGGCATAATAGAGTAGGTGTCGCGGCCCCTCGCTTCATTCCAGCGGAAGAGACCGGAATTTCAATTAGGACTTGCCCCCTTCTGAGGACATGAATAATGCTCTCTGTTCACAGACACTATCGCAGCTGGAATGACAAAGCCAGTGAGCTGAGAGCGGGGCGATGGGTGCAAGACATGCTGAGTTTGAACCAACTAACCTCAAGACCCCTCATCTGTGCACTGCTGGGAGAAAAGCGACGGTTCACTGGCTACGGACTGCATGGGATTTGAATTCTTACAAGGGCGTCCTGCGCACTGAACAGGCCACTGCAACGTGACCGGAAAAGTAACATCCTGTGGTGAGCTATGGAAAAGTGCTCACGCGCACAGACACATGACAGTACAAACTATATTAATAATGTAAAGGTATCAAAAATAGGTGTAAATATTTAAAAAAAAAAAAATATGCCACATGATCTGTAGATCGAGCTGCAGAATGAGGAACAGAGTCCTGAGCTCCTTACAACTGCTGACCTTAATCCTCCACAACCCACTACATCAGCATTCCCACAATGCCCTTATGTAGCCTGTGTTCTACTGACATTAATCTACCACAAACTAATCTCATGACGCGTATACAAGAAGCTCACCTCAGATGCTAACTGAGGATCTCTGGTGAGACAAAAGAAGTGGGGCATACAAGCTGTTGAGAAGTAGACCCCTATGGATTTGGACACATACTGTACAAAGTGGAAATGACATCATCAATGATCAAGCCAATTGCCAATTAATTAAGGGTGATAATCCCCAAAGAGGCTTTGGCTGGTTTGCTGACTTTGGCAAAACAAGAAAATGACTCACACTCTCTGGTACACGCAACAGTGGCTCACTAGCCTTCTGTAAAGTACGCAGCTTAGTCAAGGAGAGACATTGTTTTACAAGTGAAACAGATTGCTTGACCACTAAATGTACTCAGTGCAGCCACTCCCTGTACCCACAGGCTAATGTCATGACCTTCTACTGGTCACATGATGTCCATATGGCCCAGTGCCAGGATTTTACTGCCTAATCCTGGCCACTCAATCTGTTAAGTATGACTTAATGATAAGGAGACTCTGATGCATTTCTCTGTACTGAAAGATAACAGGGGTTTGTTTGCTGTGATGCATTTCTATGGCGTAATTATGACTAATTCTCAAGTCTGGAGCTGCATGCCTTCTTGCAGGTCTCACACCTAAAAAGCAAAGTGCAGCTGTATTGCGGTTGCCATCCCGCAGCTTTGTTCCCTCGACACCTTTCACGTTGTTTACCTTGCCTACTGAAAATTCTCACGCCTCAGGGTGAATGACACCAGATGGTTCCAGACCTCTGAATCACAGTCATAAGTCTGGTTTTGTGCTCATTAACCGCTGTCTCCTCCAGTTGGACAAGGTGTTTGAATGAAAGGCTGGGACACGGTCTTGAGCTATGGGGCACGAGGACACGTGTAACTGGAGCTGCCATGTCGGAGGGTTACAGCAGACGGCGCTCGAAATAAAAGGGATGGTGTCCGCTCAGTTGCTATTTGGGAGCGCTCGACCTGACAGAACTTGTTGGGTACGCTCAAATTGATGGCTGCCGATATACAGAATCATGTTTTTAAAATAGGAAGGATTTGTTTATGGTAGTTTATTTAAAGAAATAAAAATAATTAGGTAACTATTACAGCTTCCCTGCGGACACCTCAGTGAAACAAATCTATTATCTTAATAATAAATGATGTGTCTTTGTGACGTCTCCTCTTTTAAGCCTCTTCACAGTTGGAGAAACTAATCAACCTCGACACACCCATTAAAAATAGTGACGGCCACGAAACACAACGACTACCGTACACAGTCTCCCATTGTACTGACATCTGGTGACTGTAAAGGCCAATGATTCACCTCCTTTTCATCACTTTCAGACTCATGAAACCAAGGCCCTCTTGTGCCCTGTGTATAGCATCTGCATTTGTTATGTTTCCCCACAAACGTATTCAGGCCAATAATTTGTCACCAGTTTTCAAAAGACGCTAACGGCCCAAGTCTTATTTTACACATAATAATGTCCTCAGTGAGCTCACATGCCTGCGTGTGCAGCATGGGGCTCATCCAGACCTTACTGGGTACGTGTGCAGCTTTATCTATGCATTGCTAAAGCTCCAAACCTTCAAAACTGTGGTAAAAGATGGAAATGCTGCTGATGAGTTTTTGGAGTGCCTCCTGTGAGTGACAGGCCAGTGCAGCGTTGTCAGCAAACGGTACTTCCCTGATTAGAGCCCAATGATCCTTGGTCTGGAGTTAATGCAGATTGAAGGGATTTTTGTGAGAAGGCAAATTGCATCCTCAGTGTAACATAGCGACCACACAGGATAAGTAATCAAACAGTGTGGGGGCGTGAGCACCGCACTGTTTAACCCACAGTAAACCGGGACAGTCTCTGAGAATAGGACACCCTTGTCTTAAGGTACCCTTCGCATTTCACGGGGACATAATCATCCAAAAAGCCATAGCAGAAAGCCAGCCCTACTTATGGCAGATCATTGAGATTCTGGATACATATAAATAAATAAACTGCAGTTTATTTACAATTAAATATCTTCCAAAGAATGCTCCAAGTGAGACTACTCGGTATTGTTTCTCTCTTGTATAGCGTGATTGTGTTAGCACACAAATATCCTGAGGCCTTCTCTTTTCTTCCAAGCACTGAAAATAGGCTATTGACTTAGAATAAGGCAATCCCCATTGATTATTTCCTTATCTACAAGTGCAAAGAATGCCAACTATCCACAACTAGCCACAGGCACTTCCCTTTGATCTGCTTGTGGTAAATATCTCGGCAATCAAACCATAAGTAAATCACCACCAGGAGAGTACTTTCCCTTGGAAATGTTTGTGCGTGCGTGGGTTTGTGTGTCCTAACTAACCCACCGCCTCACCACTGCCACCCCCCCCCCCTCCTCCCACACACACACACACACACACACACACAGGAAGATCAGCACAAAAACAAAGATATTTGTTCCCCCGAAGATACAGAACACAGTGGCTGATATACAGCTTGCACTTTGACACAGATAGTCCTGAGTTGCCCAAACACAACAGATTCATCCGCCTGACCAAAACTGAAACAGCATGCATTTCACACTCAAAGAAAAGCGCAAAGGTTGCCCATGCTGACTTTGACAATCACTGGACTTCACTCGGGAATGTGCGACATGAGATAGCTTGAGGTTATGTCATGCATTGACTCTCACAAATAACAGGGGTTGAGAATTAGACCACAAGCATTACCCAGTGTGCCTTTAAAAACAGGGAAACGGTTGCCTAAAATGAAGTACCAAAAGTAAAAAAAACAGCTGTTGGATATACATGTAGCCTAATGTGTTAGAGGAGGAAGTCTGTTAAGCAACCAAAAAAGCAAACTCTGCACGAACGGGAACTTTAACCCTGCTTACATGGAAAATACTGAGTTTGCACCTTAACCCATTTATCAGACAACAGTCCGAACACAGTCCACATATATGCCCCCCCCCCCCCCCCCCCCACCTCTCTGTATAACCTTTATCATCCTTTTCAGGCATCTCTTAACATCCAAAAGAACTAGAAGGTAAGGTAAGTCTGATGGCAGCCCGGTATCTCTGCACCTCTGGACCTGGCTGCTGTCCTCGGGGAGGCATAGCCCTATGATGGGTAATGAAAAGCTTGTCTCTTCAGCGTCCCGATCTGGCACGCACTACTCAGGCCAGGCCAGTCTGAGCGATATCCACACAAGCAGTTTAAAGACAGAGAGCAAGACCAGTAAGGAGAGGGAGGAGGGCAAACAAAGCATGCCATCTCTCAGACTGTACCAACAGACATTGCCACAAAGGAAGCTCTTTACACAGATAAATAGACATAGAGCCTCCATCTTTCCGTGCAGCCCCGTGAGCCTCATCTGTGTGCAAAGAGAACAGGAGGGCACCACACAGAAAAAAAGCTCCTCATAACAGGCAACACAGGAACAGTGAGACAGCCAAAGGTGGCCTGGCCTGGCAAAACGCAGCATAGCACTGCATCAGGAAGCATGCATCACAGATCATCCTGTCTGAATAGAGGAGCACTAGTCCACTGTCATAAGTAAGAAAATATAGATAGCTGGGGAATATACGTGACTACATACTATCTCACGGTGGACAGATCAAATGAGAGGATGTATAGGAGTGTTGTCACATTACCATTCAT